GGGGGTATTGCGCAGTTTGACATGTTGATCTTTTTAGAGGGTTACATCCTACTTACTTTCGAGAAGCCTGAGCCCTTAATCATATGTCATATCCCGTCAAAATCTGTTTTCTGTGCTTTCTGCAAAGGACAACACTGGCTGCACATTAAGAGTTGTTGATCTGTGTAAATATAAAAAAGGCTAGATCAAGTAAAGAAGGATAGAAAGAAAAAGAAAGGAGTAAGTAAAAAAGAGAAAACTTGAAAATAGAGATAAAGATAGAAATTGAGAAAAATAAAGACAGAGAGGAGGGGAAATTTATAGAGAGATAGAGAGAAAGAGAGAGATGGGGGAAAGTTAGAGAGAGGAAGAGATAGAGAGAAAAGAGAGAGAGAGAGAGAAAGAGAGAGAGAGAGAGAGAGAGGGAGAGAGAGAGGGGGGGGTGTGGGGATAAGAAGAGGAAGTGCCCAACAGCTATAGAAACCTTCTAACCCCAGAAGACTAGAAGATCTTTATTGCAAACTCTCCCTATGAGCTGGCTAAGTTTGTGTTACCCATTAGGGCATATTATTTATACAAACACTGAAAGCTGACCATGGCTTCTTCTATGTTTGAGAAAAGTAAGAGGACAGTGAGAGAGGTATAGAAAGATACACAGAAAGATAGAAAAAGAGGGGGAGAGGGGGAGGGAGGTAGGGAGGGGGGACGAGAGAGGAGGGGGTGGGTTTCGTTCATGAGGAGATCAGAGGGGGGAGAGCGGGGGCTATAGAGACGGGAAGAGGGGTAAGGATGGAAAGAAAGAAATGTGGACAGGCAAGAAAGAGAATGGCAGAGAAGTGGATTGGAAAGAGGTTGGGGCTACGGATTACTTAGGTGGAGGGGGGGAGGGGGAGTAGCGTGAGAGAGGTACAAAACGGGCTGACCCTAGACGGTCATATGATCGCCTAGGGCTGACCCCTAGTATAAGAACGTATAGGGCTGACCCCATTGTCTAAGCAACCACAGCGAAAAGGGACCTATTGGGGGACACAGGTAGCGAGACAGGTAAGTCTGCCACCATGAGAAGGGCTCTCTCTCTCTCTCTCTCTCTCTCTCTCTCTCTCTCTC